CCCCAAAACCCCAAAACCCCAAAACCCCAAAACCCCAATGATATGATAGCAAATTGAAATTAGATATAATCTAACTTGAGGGTTGAACAGATGGTGTTACTTCTTCAGAGTTCATGAAGATATTCTGATCAAGAATTGATATCTCCCCATCAATCTCTGAATCATCCTCAACAGCCACAACCTCAAGATTATCTTCATTTTCTTGATTTTCCCCAAGCTCTTTTTGAATAGCTCTAATCTGTCTGAGGGCTCTTTCACTTCTTCTCCTCGGTGACAGCCCAGGGAGAGCACTGAAAGCATCATCTGATTTGCCTTCCCTCTCTTCTTTAGTAACGCCATACTTCTTTCTTCTAACCTTGAGTTCTTCTTGGTCTTTCTCATGCTTCTCAAGTTCTCTTTGAACAACCTGACATTTTAGTAAAAAGATACGTACCTCAGCAACTGTTTGGTCTGCAGCCGGGAAGAAGTGATAGCTCACGGTCAAGTCTACTACTTCCTTCATGTTCGGGTCTCTGTTGATAAGTGGATCTAGGTAGAAAAACACAGGCAAATCTACATATTCTTGCGGGTGGAGAAGTTGATTCTCAAAGCAGAAGCATTGGACTTTGTTAAAGTATAGCGAAGCTTCGCTCGGATCAACCTGATAAATTGACAAACCAACAATTGGCTTATCTGATTTGTTATATGCTTTATAAAAAGCGAGGGCAGTCTCTCCTGCACCAACTTGAACAACTTTGATCTCTGGCTCAAAGTTCCAAGGGAGATCATCCTCAATAACACCCTCAAAGTGAACTCTATACTTCCTAAAAACATCATTTTTATCTTGCATCTCTTGGTAATCTGTATGCTGAGTCTTTACACTATAGCCCCATCTTTCACATATCAGCTTATATAAAGGGACTATAAGACTCCAGGTTCCGAGAAGAAAGAGACAAATGCCTGAAATGCCGTAAAAAGCACCCCATTTTTGTTCGTGCATATGGTGATCATATTCTTTCAAGAAGATCCTCCTCTCTCTAACAATTTGACCTCTCTCCGTTTTCTCAAGCTCAAGGTCTTCATCTATCTCTTCAACGATCGCTTTGGGGATTTTAAATATTCTGAACTTTCTTCTTTAACTCGTCATCAAACTGAAGGAATTTCTCTTCTTCAGGTTTCGATTCAACTTTGGTCTCTTCTTTAGTAGGTTTTGTGCAAAAATTTCTAATTAGTCATGGAAAACCCCTACCTTCGAGAGGAACTAAAATAGAGGGGCCCTAAGTCGTTATTTGAAGTTTTATAACCTCCGCATGTTCTAAGTATTGAGATTATAATACATACCTAGTGCTGAAATATACTTGCTGCATCCCATTCAATGGTTGCCTCACATGCCATAGAGATCGAGCGAGAGGCTCTTTTGCAAAAGTCCTTCTTGAGGAAATTTTGATAATTGAGGTTAACATATTTCTATATTTTTTGTACAAATTGGGGTTTTGGGGTTTTGGGGTTTTGGGGTTTTGGGG